TAATAAAATCTTAGCAAGTGCAGAAAATTTTATGTAACCATCTGATCTAGGAAGAGGGTTTTAATAGACTCGAACTCTCCTTAGGTTGTGTTTGAAATCCAAACACAGCCTTAGCATTTTAATCTTTGGTTGATCCAACCACTATTAGCCTCGATTGGCTTGTGAGGATTGTACTAAGTCCTAATGTTGAGTATTGTTTTTTTCTTTTTTCTTTTTTAAGGCCCTTTAGATTTTGCTCACTTTGCATTCCAAATGCAACCGTGTGAAATAACAAAATTCTCTCCAAAATCAGATTACATTAAAACATTACCCCTCATGGCCATTGAACATCACTTTTCTTGAAGCCACATAGGTGATGGGCCTAGATGGAACCATAAAAATTGAGGGGGAAGTGACTTTCCAAGCAATATACTCAACTGCCCAAAACCATTGCTGGCAAGCCCAATCCAAGTTCATGAAACCATTTAACTCAGTCCAACTGAAATGTATTTTAAGTCCATCCAAATATAGAATGGATTGTAATTGGGTTGTCTTCAGCTAGAAATCAGTTAAGGCAACCCAAGTGTCCATTGGGTTTTACGAACGGGGGAGTTATGGGCTGGTCCTGTGGACCGGTCTTATTACCCAGCAGGTCCTACCTAAAAAAATCAAACAATATTTTTCATTTTTACCCCTAGACTCAACACTGTAAATTTATCACTGGTTTAAACAAATTTATCACTGATTTATCACTTGTTTTAACAAATTTGTCACTGGTTTATCACTAGTTTAAACAAATTTATCACTGATTTATCACTGATTCAAACAGATTTATCACTGGTTTAAACAGATTTATCACTAATTTGAATCCACTTGAATAGAAGAGAGATGGGAGAGGAAATGGAGCTGAAGAAGAAGGCGATCTAAGCAGAGAATGAGGGATAACTAGACGACGGAAAAGGAACCAGGCTTGAAGTTGAAGGAATCGAGGATATAAGCGACAATGAATCCCAATGTCAAGGCAGCAAAGACAAGTGTGCCGCCAAGGTCGAGAAGGAAGGCGACGCAGGGTACTAAGGCGACGACAATCCTAGCGTTGTGGGCGAACAAAGAAGTCTCTCTCTCTCTCTCTCTCTCTCAAACTCTCATCTCTCTCTACAGGAGCACTGTCGATACCGATGCCGACACCGAACTACCATCACCGAGCAGTGACAACGATTCTTCCTTCTCTTTCTGACGAGTGACAATGATTTGCAGCAATGGAACAAATCTAGATTCAAATCTGAGTATAAAAACATGAAGATACAAACGGAATAAAAAAAAAATGTTCAAGACCTATAGGTAAAAGAGTCTCCATTGAGGACCTGTTGGATAATAACCCTTGAAAATAGAACTAGCTTGTAAAAATCCCGAGATGTAAGTCATGGATCCCACTGCTTGAATCTAATTCTTTGTCATAAGTTGTCTTATACCACATGAAGTGGGTAAAAATTATCAAAGTCTCGGTGCTCGACCCAATGATAGGTTCACTCCGAGGTTGGGCTAGGTTGGAGCTCAACCTATGGTAAACAGTTGCTTCAAAATAGGACAATCATTGGAGTTCGGCCCAATGCATGAGCGTCACTCCGAAGTGGATGCTAGGAAACTCAGCCCAACGTGCAAGGCTCACTCCGAAGCAAATCGAGCAACAAGTTAGACCTCCAAGTTGGACAACCACTCCGAAGTGGACCAATTTGGAGAAGGCCAACACACCGAAGGTCTTTTTTGAGCTCACAAAAGACAAACAACTTTACTCATCTCCTTATGTCTGAACAGAACATTGAGATATGGAGGCGTAGAGGGACAAAGCACACACACGACAAACCTGCACCTGAGTGTCAGGCGAAGTGGCTATCCTCTAATGGAAGACATTCACGATTTAGACAAACAGGACAAACCTGCACTTGAGTGTCAGGAGAAGTGGTTGTCCTCCTCCAATGGGAGATGACCACAAATAAGACAACTGGCGAAGAGATAAGGTCTTGGAAGACAAACAAAAAGGTGAGCACTATTCACCCTCAAGGCATCCGAAATCCACACACTCAACATATACAGTCTCTTTACATCTCTTATTCTTCTCTTCTAGTCCCTGACTTTACCATCGGAGGGGTTTCAGACCAAATCCCGATCAAACAGCTTCACCGTTTGTTACTCTGTGCAAGACTTCTTTTTTCGGAGCACGCTGTTCTTCCACGAAATTCTACCCTTTATCATAGTGCGACAATTACCCCCGCACATCACACAATGAGTAGTTAGTATGCATTTGATGACGATCAAATGCCATCTGATCTATTGGATTATGGGCTTGCTTGATCAACAACTACGATTGCATGTTCCTAATTGAGCATGTATCCATCAAATTAAAGGCTTAAACTAATTATTCATAATAATAGTTGAAGATAGTTGTTAGCAAAAATTTAGTTGACATACCACAATCAATTAAATTAAATTTAGTCATAATCAACATATCATAATAGACAAAAAAATAAATTATGGTGTCAACAATAATTTTCCTAAACAATAATATATATATATATATATATATCAAGCCCTCTTTTATTGGTGTAATTTCGTTGTATTACTTGTACTGTATTTTACATAATAAAATTCTCACAACTTGTGGCAACTTTATTGTGAGGCCTAGTGGAGTTGGATATATGCCATTTAGATTAGATTTGGAGATTCCAAATTCTAGCTACTTCCGTGAAAGCAATCCAAGGCACCACATCGAAGGCAAAGTGTCCAACTCCGAACATTTGAGATCTTTAAAGCCAAAGATGCCAAGACTAGCACTCATGGTGGCTCTTCAACCGGATGCAAGTTCTCTCTCCAATACACGATTGTAATGGATCCATTTTATCATTCAACGGTTGTAAAACAATCATATGAATTTATATTATTTTAAATTAAGAAAAAATCATTACAATCATTGACATTTTTTTCACAACTAAGTAATCAAAAGGATCTCAATCCCTTCAAAACAAAACTGATTTTGTATGTTCCGTTACTTTTAGAAGAGGGTGTTGGATGCTTAACGTTTTAGTAAGAAAAATGAAATACCCATACTTTAACTGCCCTCTTAGACATGATTAATTCAAGACTAACAATAATGCACATGCATTGCCCGCCTGTAACATGGTTTAGCGAAGGCACCCAATTATTTGATAATTTATCGTATACAAATTCCCCCCTCTCTTTGTATGCGACAACTGAAATTGCACTTTAATATTGAAATTAATTTGGCATTAATTTCACATAGTCAAGAAAGTAGTTTCAAAAGCATAGATTTGCTTTTTCTTTCCTAGTGTTATTCCAAATCAAATAGCGTGTGAATCATGGAAAAGAAGTTGAAACCCCGTTATTCTTCATGATCAAATGCAATGGACTACATTCACCCTAAAAAATAAAGAAAGAAATTCAAGTAAAAGCCATTGGTATCGAATATTTGTCTGATAAGTTCATTTGAAGCGAATGTTAAAAAGTCAAGCAAGTGGCATCCTTAATAGATTGACACACACACACACAATTTGACGACCCAATATATGAGGTTCCGTTAAAATGAAATGATTATTTTCGTGACACGAACTCTAGCCACCGTAACGCTAACGTTAGAAAGTTGATTATTGAGTTCACGTGAGATCCATCATGTGATACATATTATTTCGAATCAAAACAAATTGTAATCGGATTAAAAGAATTATTTAGCCACAAGTATTGATCCTTTACGTGTTTAAATATGAACTTCTTGTCCTAGCTTAGTTAACTTTGTGAGGAATCCATTTTTTATTCTCTCTTTCAAAAAGCCAAGCTGATCTTTACCTTAGGGTGTCCACAGCATTTTCTTGATTCCTTTTTATTTATTTATTATTTTTGAGAAATAATAGCTATACAAAATTAAAATACTAAAAAAAGTATAGTGTATAGATCCATCTTGAGTGCCGTGAGTTTTTTGTTTTTTTAATTTATTATTTATTTATTTGTGTGTGCGTGTGTTTTATTCTATGCATGTAGCAATGTTGACTATTTTTTAAAAAATGCTGTCTCATAAATTTTTTCTCTAAAATTTATCGTAAAAATGAGGTGTTAAAATTGATACACTATAACATATAAAAGTTTTAGAAACCAAATGTTTTGGTCTTCAAAAGTAAAAAAATTGTTGCAAAAGACATTTAGGGACTAATTTATGTCGTCACGAGGATAGTCACTAAAAGGTCGTCCCGAAAAGTCAAAAATAAGGCTTTTAGTGACAAAATTTTAAAAATGTCACTGATAAATAAATTTTCAAGAATAAAATAATTTAGTCTCAAAATGGTTTAGTTTTTGAGATAAAAAATTTGATCCCAAAAGAATAATAATTCACCACTAATGTTCAATTTTTGTTGCTGAAAATATAACAACGACACTTAAATTTTAATTTTGTCTATAAATTTTAATTTCTAAAACTTTAATTTTTTGTAATTATAAATGCACGCAATATTCAAAATACTTGCCGTCCATAGATATATTTTTTGGAATATGTACTGTTATTGTTATTTTTTGATAAAGCACGTATGCACGAAAGTCTCAACATACATACATGCACTTCGAACCCTATATATATACGAGGTTGAAGAAAGGATCTGTAACCTTCCATTTTTTTCTAACTTCTGAGAGTTCTTTTTCTTATACTCCAATGGGTGACCAACAGGTACCACAACTGAGTTGTTATTGTTATTTTAACATATTCTGGCTTGAGAAATGACAAAAGCCCTGTTTGGTACAGCTTTTTTTCAGCTTATTTCAGCTTTCAGCTTAATTTAAGCTATTTTGATGTGTTTGGTTTAGATATTTTTTGGAATATGTACTGTTATTGTTATTTTTTGATAAAGCACGTATGCACGAAAGTCTCAACATACATACATGCACTTCGAACCCTATATATATACAAGGTTGAAGAAAGGATCTGTAACCTTCCATTTTTTTCTAACTTCTGAGAGTTCTTTTTCTTACTCCAATGGGTGACCAACAGGTACCACAACTGAGTTGTTATTGTTATTTTAACATATTCTGGCTTGAGAAATGACAAAGAAGTTTTGATTGTGTTTTCATTTTTTCTTTTTATTTTTTTTACACATAAAATTATTGAAAAGTAACAAAAGAAACCCATCATGTTTGATTGATTTGACTTCTATCAAATTGCGCTTATGCATGAGAAACGTTTTTTACTAACATAGATGCCAAATAATGAAAACCCTAATATAGTTGTTAATACATTTATAAACTTCAAAGTGTGAAAATAAAAAATATTTTTTTATATTTGATTGTGACCTTAAAATTAATGTGCTAATAATTATGTTAATTGTAGCCTTAGTGGTGGTGACGGTGGTGGAAGCAAAGGCATCGTGTTGTGGAGGAGTGGTCGTGGTGGTGGTAGGGCAATGATAGAGGTGGTGGCAAAGGTATGGTGATGGAGATGGGGAGATGGAGGTGGTGATGGCAGTAGTGGTGATTGTGGCGGTGGTAGTTTGATGGCGTTGATTTAACTTCAATTTGAAAAATATTTTTCACCTTTCAAAATAAAAATTAAAAAAAGAACTTATTTTTTCTCAAATAAGTTGATTTTTTGTTGATCTTAAAAAACATTTTTTGTTTACAACTGTTTTCCATCATATCGAATGCCAAATAATGTAATATATTAATTTGTTTCTGCCAAAACAAACTTAACCTAAATATTTATTTCATCTATCATAAGTTAAATTTATCTCAAATTATCGGATATTAAGATGGGGTTTTTATTTGTTTGCAGATCAATATTAATGCCAAAGAACTTAAAATTGTTTGGGGCAATGATAACCGCTATTGGCGCACGCCAAAGGAATCGTGAGTATTCTGCATCTTTTATTTGTTTATTTATTTTGATTCTTATTCTATTGATCCGAAGTGCATATTTTGTACAATCCTATATGTAGCTAACTCATTAAAAATATTAAATGAAATGGATGACAAGCATTGCCACCACAAAAAAAGAAAGAAAAAAAAAGAAAGAAAAGAAAAGAAAGAAATGAATGACAAGTATTGTTCTGAAAATAGTTGTTGTCGTTTTATTTTTGGTTGTTTTTTTGGAAGGAATCAACCTGCAGAACTATTGCAAGTGTGTTGGCTAGAAGTAACAGGAAGTTGCGTCATAGACAAGGGAAAAAAGTACAACGTTACCTTCGAAGTGTCATTGACACCAGATGCATTTGGTTGGAACAATACTACACTCTACATTATGGCTAAGAGAGGTGAAAAGGGAAGATACACTTGGAAAAAAGTTAACTTAACCAACCAAAATACTAATAAGGACCAGCATTTCTTTATTCCTGAAGAACATTTGATAGTTGAGCCTGATACGAATGCTTCTGACGACAAGCTCTATTTCGGTCTCTACGAAATCTGGAAAGGTAACTGGAAAGGCGGTCTCAAAATTTACCGTGCAGTTGTTGAACCCCGTTAATTAGCAGCAATGACTGCACCAATTGATACATATGTTTGTTTTTGTGTGTCTGTGAGGGATATTATTATCATATTGTATAACGGAGGGTGAGTTATAACTCATGCAGATAAAATAAAATCCAGAAATATGTATACATATATGTTTTCATAAATCCTTAAATAAATATCAATTGGTGTTTGCTAAACCTTGTTGTACTTAAAATTGTTGGACAATCTTCACTGTATTTAATTAAGTTAAATTCTGTTGTGTACTAAACAACAACCAGAATAAAAGGAAATAAAGAAAATGAGAGAATTTGTTTGATTACAAAAATCAAACTCTAAATAATAAATAAATAAATAAATAAAACCACAGATTTTATTTTATTACAAAAACAAAATTTAAATCTGATTTTAATAAATAAAAACAATACTGAAAATAAATTAAATAACTTACTTGATTTAATTTGTTCGAATTATTTTCTGATCAAGTCCAGTGTTTGGTATGCACGAAAGTCTCAACATACATACATGCACTTCGAACCCTATATATATACAAGGTTGAAGAAAGGATCTGTAACCTTCCATTTTTTTCTAACTTCTGAGAGTTCTTTTTCTTATACTCCAATGGGTGACCAACAGGTACCACAACTGAGTTGTTATTGTTATTTTAACATATTCTGGCTTGAGAAATGACAAAAGCCCTGTTTGGTACAGCTTTTTTTCAGCTTATTTCAGCTTTCAGCTTAATTTAAGCTATTTTGATGTGTTTGGTTTAGCTTAAGCTTATAGCTAGGGCTGTCCTATTTATAGATGGAATGGTGGCTCTAGGTTTTGAATTGAACAGGTATGATACCTGTTGGTTTTGAATTCAAACAGATTTGAATCTGTTAATAATTCAAACAGATAGCAAAAAACGTGAAGGGCCCTGTTTGGGTGTGCACTAATTCCAAACTAGTTTATTTCTGTTTGAAAACGGGAAGGGCCCTATTTGGATGTACAGAAAATCCAAATCAGTTTAATTTAAATTCTGAATTTTATTTTACCAAAAATAAAATTAAATTCAAATGTTTTTGGCCCAAAAAGATTAATATTGGGCCGAACAAGCCCAACCCAACCTCACACCACGCACCCGCGCCCAAGCCCAGCCTGCCCGACCGGACGGCGGCGGGGCGCGCGTGTGTGGTGATTTTTGGGTCCAATGGGTCTAGCCCATAACCTCTCCCTCTAAAACACTTGGGTACCCCTTGGGGCACACCCCAAGTACCAAACCCAAGCCTTATAAACCCATTCAAAACCTCCCACCAAATCAATGTGGGACAAATCATTTTACAACCTTAAGGAATTTCCACCAAAACTCCATTTCCATGGAGCACACTTTAGTTTCAATTTCCCATTCACTCGGTAATGGTTTTGAGCAACCAAATATACCACGTGAATCACAACGCAGCATAGAACGCGTTACCACTTTGACCCGTGAAAACCGATGCACAGGGCCTACCTAAAAAATAGACCAAACTTAGGAAAAAATTCTGGTTTTATCCAAAATTTTATAATCATTTCCAACAAAAATTTATATATTGGTGTTTTCATGAATTGGATTCAATGGTCATCTCTCATTTCCAACTTAATTAGTACCTTCGTACTTTCATGAATTGGGAATCAATATTGTTATTATTGTTAATGCCAACTGTGCCTTGTGGTCTCCTGGTATTTAGGACGCTCTCATGGCGTGTAGAATCGTTTATGAACAAAAACATGTGTATTCAACAACATTTTCTCTCAAATGTTTGATTGTGAGCTTTTATTAAAGGCCAAATTTTACTTTATTCCTTGTGATTTAACTCATGTTAGTATAGTTCTTTGTAATTTGGAAAAAACACATGATGCCCTGTGATTTATAGACTAAAATGGACTGTCCAGCTCATTAACCAAATTACAGGGCATAGTTCACCCATATTGACCTACTAAGAAACCCCAACTCTGCAGCCTCTATTGTTGTGTAATTGTGCAATGTTGATACAAAAGACTGACGAGATTTGATAGCAAACCACACTGGTTTGTCCACACCATCCAAATTAAGAGATGGAACCAATCTCAGCACATCTCGGAGCCTGATAAGTTCCTCATCTTCCCAAACAAACAGCTGCCTTCTGTACGGCTCTTTGAAGAAAAAATAAACCACACATGGAGTAATATAAAGTAGAAGGAGGATTACTAAATGACCCTACATTTTTTCTTTGGGCATTCACCTCTTCTATTTTTCTTTTTTTATTATAATTTTGCCCTAACATCAATTTTCATTTTTGATCCCATCTTTATCCTTCCAATCCTAACCCTAACCCCAACTCCAACTCCAACTCCACCGCTACTTCACTCCGGTCGGCAACGTCCTCCAACAACCATCCTAGTGCCTCTCCATTAGCGACCACCCTCTCACCACGTCTCACCACTACGACCCCCTTCCACTTCTCTCTCTAATCTGGATTTTCTCTCTCTCTCTCTCTCTTTCTCTTCCCTTCCTCTTCTTCTTCTTCTAGGTTCAATGCCTTCCCACCATCGCCACTGTCACCCCACAGCCTCCCACAAAACATTCCCATACCTTTAAAAACTTTTTCCTTTCCCAGAACCACAATCATTTCCTCAACCTTCTTCTCCTGCAAAGACCACTTTCAGGCCCTTATTCATCACTGATCTCCTGCCTTCCCACCATCGGTCGTCACCTCTCACCTCCTCCATCTTCTTCTTCTTTTCTTTCTCTCTCTCTCTCTCTCTCTCTGGTACACAGTGTTGGTTTTGGAGATGAGATCGAAAGTCTAGGTCGCGATGTTAAGGGGTGCTAGATCACCGACGTTAGGTGGTGGGTTGGGGACGTCTAGTTTGCAGTGTTAAGAAGTACTAGATCACCGACAATAAGGGGCCTGAAGAATGCGGTGTTGCTAGACTGGTTCAAAGCAGCGTCAATGGTGGTGGCCGTGGATGGTGGTGCCAACGCAATAGCAGATGTGGGCTAGTAGCGGTAGTTATCGGAATTGGTGAGGATGGAATTAGGGTTAGGGTTAGGGTTTGGGTTTGGATTTGGGATTAAGAGTATAGTTAGCATAAAGAGGGGGTTTAAAGAGAAAATTGAAGGGGTTTCATTTTGTTGGGTGGGCGTTCAAAGAAGTGAGAGGCCAAAATAAAAACGTGAGGATAAATGGTGACCCTTATAAAGTAAAGGTAGCTAAAACTATGTTTGCTTTGCTCCCTTAAATTGCACCAAGTTCATAAACTAATTTATTGGGTCCTAAACTTAAGCTTGTTAGTTAATTTATACTATACTCCCACACTTAAATATCTTTTCTTTCTTTCTTTTTTTTTCTTTTTTTTTTTTTTTTCTTTTTTTTCTTTTGGTGGGGGTTAGGAGGGAATCCAAGGTAGGAAATATTGTAGCTTGTAAATCATGTATAACGCAGCAGGTAAAAAAATTTAAGCCATATTTTAGGTGATGGAATCCGAAACGATGAACTTTGTGGGTAAATCACGTGTTTTACAAATCACAAACTACGAACACCTAGCAATTGAGTGATACCACAGTATGAGTATCATCTACACCAGTCATAGTGCAAAGGCTTGATTGTTTTACAAATGGGAGAGAGTTAGAGAAAGAGTATGAAAAAAATATCAATCGTTATTCTAATCATCCCACATCCCATATATAACGTATCTGATATAAAGGCTATCTAACCAGCTATCCATATCTGTTCATAAGATATGATAGATATAGATATAAGATAGTGGGTTATCCAAAACTAAGGATAGATAATAATTTAAATTCAAAAATCAAATTATTTAGATGATCTGATATTAATCATAGTCATGCCACATGGACGCTCAAACCCAGGTCCAATACCCGGCCCAATTTCCAACATCTTTCACTCGCACATGAGTTTGCATGACACTGTCACATCTCTATCTCAATCTCCCCAAATATTAAACAATTTCATACTAGCCAATGAACCGTGCGACTGCTGAGAACACCTACATGTGGGAGCTTTATACAAGAAACTCAATATGAGCCAGCATAGAGACATCAACCCAAGAAGAATAGAAATAGTGTCTCACGTACCCGAATCCATCTAGCTACATTGGTCCAAAACATCTCTAATCCCTCAAAGAGCATGTTTGACCCTCCTAGGTTCCGCATTATATTCACACCCAATCAGCATTGCATAGAGAGCGATGTGTGTTGTCGACAATGAATATGGAGCAGAAGTGTAGAACTAGATGATCTTCCCTTCACCCTCATATCATTTAATTCGGAATTGACTGCTTTTCCAGTAATGTCCCTTAAAGCCGAATCAAACATAACCGTAGGCAACATACCAAAGTAGCTGAACATCTGTCACCCCTCAAACCCGGGCCTGACCCGCCGTGGCCCACAAGGACTTAGCCTAAGGCACACGTAAGCCTAAACACGAATCCATGATCACATTGAACAACTATACAATAGTCCAGTAACAAATAACCAAACTTAATCCAATGACATGCCACAAGTAGAAACAATAACCAACCGTAATCAATACCATCCAACTTAACGGATATAAACAGCCCACATATCAAAATAATCCTAAATGAACCCCAATAAAAATAAAAATATGCACAAACTTGACATAATAATCTAAAACAAAATAAATGAATGTCCTAGAGGTCCATGCAATTGAGTTCCCATTATGCCATGAGTTCACTCTAAGTCCTTCTAACACCTGGAAGTGATAAACAACTTAGTTAGCTGATAGCTCAGTGAGTAGCAACATGGATAATAAATACAGTTTTGAAAACAACGTTTAATTCTAAAATAAGATATATATCATAGAAACCAGATTGGCATACAGTTTGGTAAAGACAATCTGTTTCAAAAAGAAGATTCTGCAGTTCAACAGTTAAAATACTCATGTCTTTAAAAAACATGATAAATGACATTTTCCACTTAAAACAGATTACAACATGAACACCAATAATTTTTCTGGGTACCAAGAAATAACAAGTAACTTGTCACGCAGTTCTCAAGGCTATAAGCCCTGTTGAATCCAATATCGAACTAAGAGTTAGCCTCAAGGTGGCAACATGGGCCTTTTCTCTTAAGATGATCCAATTGAAGGTCACCTAACTTAACCTAGGTATTTTCCTTACAATCATTGAGCACTAGAGTCATCACGGCCCAACC